TACAAGATTTTCATTAACGGTTCATGATCCAATGACATAAGTTAACTTACCACTCCACTCTTGGAACATCCTGAACGATCAGTGTCTCTCACTAAACCGGGCGAGCAGGAAATCTGTTCTCTTGAATAACCGTCAAATTCGTAGGACATAGTATAGGAGTGCACGATGCTGTGCTTGAACGAGGGACTTTCCCAAGTGAAATTCACGCTGAATGTGTTGCTTTCTTGGTCTTCAACAAATGATCCCGAACGAAGGTTTCCTACCTGTATTTCCTTGTTTTCTGGACCTTTGAAGGAAAATAACAAAACGAAATGGTCATTAATGAAATAAGCGCAGCTTTAATATACTTGGAATTTAGTTTGATCCTATGCGCGTGCTCATTAATTATTTTTTTGTAGTGACCTATGCATCTTTACTGAGCAAATAAATCATGTGGTAATGTCAGTATCGCGCGCTCGCGCCCTAAGCAACAAATATAAGCATGTAAAGGGCTTTGTACCGGTTGCGTTAACTTCGTGTGCACTTTACGCTTTACTAAATTAAGCGGTCGGTGGCCCCCTCTTTTCTTTTCATAGATCATTCCTTTTACTGATTCTCTTCACTTCAACAAAACAAATCTGCACATGATCGGATTTGGGCTCGAAGGTCCTTAATAATTCTAATGTCCAGTGTTCCGTGAAATGTGATGAGATGCAATGAAATATCATACTGTTTAAATTAAAATAACAACAAACTACGAGCGCAGAAGAATGAATACATCCTTTTTTTGATCACTATAGCTTTATATGTATAAATGTGTAGTAAAAATAACTAAATAAATAAATTCACTAGTAGAAATGACAAGAAAGAACAAAGTCAGCATAACCGCTTCCAATGAAAGAAATTGAAAATGTAGTCTTTTCACATTAGCTTTAGATGTAAAAGAAAAGAACGTTTGAACTGTTATGTTTTCTTTTACCGATTACTTAAGACTTCATAAAACAAGTTTCATTTATACTTTTTTCGTTGTTGTGTTGATTTAAACGAATCATGCTTTTAAAGTTTCCAGAAGAAGGAGAAGAAACCTTTAGATTCTATACCCTGCTTACTTAACTCAATCTCCCTTTTTTAACTGAAAAGCTCGTAGTCTTGACACTATTGTACTTACTCCGTGGCTCGATAGTTGTTTGTGTTGCAATTCCTTTTATAACATTGACGACAAATTCTGGTGTAACCTTTGAAAAAAATTTGAAATTGTGAGTAACTCTTGACTTGGTCTTGCTCTCTTTTCATTATCTGCTCTTTTTTTGCGTATAGTGTAGGATAGTTTTTACCACTGTAAAGCATGTTCTCTATCTATGACACGAAGGTAGCTGCGATCTCAGTATTGAAGTATTTACAACGTTGCAGGTTTCTTTCCTGTTAAAGTCCTGTATAAACTCTTCCTTCTCAGCTAGGAGGAATTTGTTTACCTCTATCTCTAACTTGTCTCCAGGTATTAAGTCGTCCACGGGAAAGAACGTCTCCGCCTTGTGAAAAGAAAAGTAGAAAAAATAATTCAAGTTCAACACTTTTAACAAATAACGAATTGTTCACAAATATAAGAGGAGTTGGACGGTTGAATGTCCGACAACAGGTGACTTATTCCAGAACGCCATTTAATTTTCTAACGGTACCGATTCGTATTCTCAATATAATAGCCTGGCTTATTGCAAGGTTGCGCCATAAGTGGTTAAAATCGACGGCATAAGTGATCAGGAGTAACCGCTCAGTGGATTCTAGATTTGGGGAAAATTTTATTTGTCAATGATTGCGTTTAAAGAGACAGAACTCTTACCTTCTTAAACTGCCACAGTTTTTGCCTGTCTGGATTCCCAGTACGTTTGTAACTTATCATGTATTTGCTAACACTGCTTTCTTTAAAGAGAGGTTTCTGCCACGAGATCAGATAATCAAATTGCTCTAATGTGCTCGTGTTACGCTCTGTGTAGTTCAAATTTTGAACTTTTACAGTGCTCGGATCGGGCTCTGAAATGGACCAGAATAGAAAAAGATTAAAATACACTTAAAACAATGGCGTCGATATCG